GCAGTGGTACAAGAAGTTTGATGGGTTTATGTGTAGCAGCGGTTTTACAAGATGTTAAGCAGGTCATTGTTGTTATTTCAAGAGTTTTGATAAAAGATATATTATTTTGCTCTTATATGTTGATGATATGCTTATTGCAGGATCTAGTATTGAAAAAATAAAAAGATTAAAAAACTTTTGTCCAACCAATTTGAGATGAAGGATCTTGGAGTTGCAAACAAAATCTTTGGTATGAGGGTTCATTGGGACAAGGCCAATGGTACTTTGAAGTTGTCATAGGCTGAGTATGTGACACCTTGAACGTTTAATTAAATGCCACATAAATATTTATAGTTATATATAATTGTGAGTGTATGTGATAATATATTATTAAATAAATAATAATAAATACATAATCTAATTTGGCATTGGGTTATCAAATATAGGAATAATTAGAGATTATTATTTGGTGCCAAATTAACACAAATATAGAATTATAATACTAATTGGGTCAAATTAAAGTCAAAGATAATAAATAAATAAATAAAAGTAAAATAAAACAAATATAATAAATAATTTCCACGTATTTGATCATCAATTAATGAATAGATTTGCAAATATATTAAGCATCAAAAATATATTATTAAATAAATAATAATAAATACAGAATCTAATTTGGCATTGGGTTATCCAATATAGGAATTATTAGAGATTATTATGTGGTGTCAAATTAACACAAATATAGAATTATAATACTAATTGGGCCAAATTAAAGTCAAAGATAATAAATAAATAAATAAAAGTAAAATAAAACAAATATAATAAATAATTTCCACGTATTTGATCATCAATTAATGAATAGATTTGCAAATATATTAAGCATCAAATGAATAGATTTGCAAATATTTACAAATATTGCTAAAGAAATAAAATGAGGCCATCTATACATCTCGGCTTGGAGAGAGGAATGATTCATCATGTAGGCCATTAGATAAGGATGAGTCAGCACTTGAAGTACGTGTATAAATAGGGGGAGGAGGTATGTAAAGTGAACGGAGAAACAAAGAAGGAAAAAAAAAAAAAGGAGAGAAAGGAGATCAGTAGAAAAGAGAGGAGCCAAAAACCAACAAAAATATAAAAGAATGAGTAAGACTCAATCTTAAAATGAGTTATATTATACCTTGAGTTACCATAATATATTTTACATATATTTTGACTTATCATAATTTATTTTATACAAGTTATATTTTATAAGTTATATTAATTCAAGTTATGTTTTAGAAATATTTCAGTTACGTGGATTAATTTCTAAACTCTATTTGTTTAAATGAAATTCATGATATGTTTGTTTAAATTTTAAAGAATATTTGACTATGACCTTATAAACAATTATGTTTTGTAAGTATCACCACGGGAGTCCGACGCCTTGGGAGATTTAAATAACCATTGGCCTCTGTTTTGCCACTTTGTGGTTCTCTGTTTGTCATGGATCCATTGACCTCTGTTCTAATTGTCACTTCTGCGACCTCTGTTCTGTTCTATTCTGTACCGTGGTTATGGTTATTTATTTACATAATTTCTGTATTTCAGTTTCTGCCATGTAACTGATTTATTTACCAAATTGAGTTATGTAAATGTTTTGGCTTAATTAATTATCCATAGTTATTTTGTATTCCTTATACTCTTGGCATAATATTTCTCACTCTGTTGTATGCTAATAGCTGTTACCCTTTCAGGTGACGAGATGTAGGGGAAACCCATAACCTCACGAAATGGAACCCGCATGAGGATTGATGTTGAACTTTTTTTTTTTTTTTGTCTTTCTTCTTTTCTTTTCTTTTTTAATGTTTTGCTCCCTTTTGTTCTACTCGGAGCCGATCACTAAATAATAAAATAATAAAAGCCCTATAAATGTATTTTTTCTTATTAAAATAGTAAAATGGAGTAATTTCCTGTTTAATTATTTTTATTACCGCTTACGCAGTTTAATTTGCTACAAATAGAAAAAGTTATAAAGTTGCGATTCCAATCCCAAGCCCTTGGGGTTGGGTCGTGACAGAGTATGTCAAGAAAGTTCTCAAGAGATTTAGCATGGATGATACAAAACCAGTGAGCACTCCATTGGTTAGTCACTTCAGACTTACCAAAGAGCAGTCTCCGAAGATCGAAGAAGAGTAGGCTTACATGGAACGTGTTTCATATGCTTCAGCTATCGGTAGCATAATGTATACTATGGTTTGTACTAGACCAGACATTGCACATGCAATGTGAGTGGTTAGTAGGTACATGAGTAATCCAGGCAAGCAGCATTGGGAAGCAGTGAAGTGGATCCTTAGATACTTGAGTGGTACTACAGAATGGCACTCTGTTTCAGACGAACCGGCATTGGGTTACATGGTTATGTTAATACAAACTTGGTTGGTGATATGGATAACAAAAAAAGTACTACTAGTTATGTTTACACATTGGGTGGTACAGCAGTGAGTTTGATTTCATAGTTACAGAAGATTGTGACCCTTTCTATAATAGAGGCTGAGTGTATTGCTATTACTGAAGCTGGGAAAGAGATGACTTGGTTACAGAATTTCCTAGCAGAGTTTGGTAAGACGTAAGAGATCAGTATTTTGTATAGTGACAGTCAGAGTGCTATTCATTTTGTAAAGAATCCGGCTTTTCATTCTAAGATGAAACACATTCAGCTGCGATACCATTTCATTCGTTCACTTGTAGATGATGGAGTCTTGTCACTTGAGAAGATCCAAGGCAGTAAGAATCCAACAAATATGTTGACCAAGACAGTCACCATTGACAAACTAAAGTTGTGTGCAACTTCAGTTGGCCTTCAAGATTGATGAAGGAAGATCAAGTTGTTGCAGCATTTCTCTATGTGATGAAGATGATGAAAAGCTTATGTTATCAGGTTCTAAGTAGGAGATTGTTGGGTCGGTGGACCCTGATAAGTACTGTTTATTCAACCTTGTTGTTCACTCAAACACTGGGTCTAATTGGGGGTTTGGGGGGCCTATTCTGAAGTGAACCACGTAAATCCTTATGTTATTGTGTGTGTGATTTGTTTGATTCGTTTTTTCTTCCTTGTTTGTTATTTTGTGTCTCACCGATCTTGGTTAAGAAGGGTCAATTTCTCTCAAAATACATTTTTGTGATATATGTTATATATTTTATGGTAAATGTTACTTATTTTTTTCTGGTAAAGTTACAACATAAATGAAATTACTCATTTATAATAATTTTTTATGATAATGTTATACATTTTTTATTAGAAAATGTTTGAATAAAAAAATAGGTAATATTACCACACTTAGCTTAATTTTTAAGTTATGAATTGTCGTAACTCTACTAAAAAAATTACTGACATTTAATTGATTAAATTCTAAAATTAAAAAATTAAAGTGCAACAAAATTCATAACTTAGAAATTATTGGTGTATTTGTATAATAAAAAAAAGTTTGGTTTTTTTGAAGTTTGTCATATTCATTTGACAGAACGTTTGGACTTGATAGGACTATTTGGGACCTATTTTGATGATTCAAATTATTCATTTTTTAAGATTCGTTGAGTAAAATATTCATGTAAAAAAATTAAGATGATTAAAAATCGATAGCTATATATGTTTAATCAAATTTATACTACAAAAAATAATAGGTATTCTTAAAATTATATTTATCTTCTATTTTTTTTTAAACAAATATCATTCAAATATATAGTTACCGATATTCAATCATTTTGATTTTTTACATAAATATTCTTCTAAAAAATAAACAATTTAAATTATTAAAATTAAGGGAAAAATAAACCTATCAAACTAAAACACTTTCTCCAATTGAGAACCTAAAAAAACCAAACTCTCAAAAAAAAAATCTATACGAACAGTCTCTCTCCAACAACACCCCCAAAGGGGTTCCTATCAACCTATAGTTTATCCACTTATAATTTATCCCCAAAAAAAAAAATGATCGTCTAAATTTATTTTCCTTATAGATTCATATTTTATCAATTTAATCTCTACTACATAAATATATTTGGAGTAAGTTATAAGCTTATAAGGATATGCTCCTAGCATTTTTCTTCTCTCTTTCTCTGTATATATATACAGTGTCACTACATCTATTGAATTTTGCTCCGTCTAAATTGCCCAAGATATTCATTCTGACAATTCGAAAGGAACAAAATTTGATAAATCAAACATTATTCATATACATATATGAAAATTTAATAAATACATAAAAATATGAAAATATATTAAATTATATATTTTTTTATATTTGATAATTTTTAAATTTTTTTTATAAATATTATACTTTTTAAGTATATTTAGATTAATTAATTTTTTTAAATATTCAAAAAATACTTTTAAAAAAAAAACTCAATTTTATAACATGTGGGATGACCGAACAAAAATAAAAAATACTGTGTGCCATGCACATCGCATATAATCCCGGCATAAATTAAATACAAATTTATATAAGTTTTAAAAAAATTAAAATTTACACAAATTTATACTCAACGTATGTAATTGTGTGATAGGCAGAATAATTTTCCAACAAAAATTTGTGGACTACGTTTAAGCCTGCTATACCAGAATCAGGATCTTTTCCTTGCGGTTACTACTTGATTTCTTATTTGCTGAGTCATTAGACTTACTTTTAGGTTCAATTATCATAATTCGAACCGTTCATATTTTAAGATTTGTTGAATATATCATACTTGTAAAAAATCAAGTTGATCGGATATCAGAAAGCATGTGTTTGGAGAACTGTTTATTAAATTTTCTAAAAAAATAGTTTTTAGTTAGTTTTCCGAACACATACTTTCTGATATCCGATCAACTTGATTTTTTTACAGATATGATATACTCAACAAATCTTAAAATGTGAACGATTCGAATTATTAAAATTGAACCTAAAAGTGTACCCAATGGCCAACAAATAGGAAGTTTAAGTAGTAACATCAAGGAGAATCCTGATTCGCTATACCAATACCAGCCTCCTAATGTAGAGCGAAAGTAAAACAGACGTTGCTCTGTGTCTACTCATTGAAGAACATTCTCTCTCTCTCTCTCTCTCTCTCAACTGTCCTCCTCCAGAACAATTAACACACACCCATAAACAAATATCAACATATATACATACAGAGAGAGAGAGAACTGTCCTCCTCCAGAACAATTAACACACACCCGTAAACAAATATCAACATATATACATACAGAGAGAGAGAGAGAGAGAGAGAGAGAGAATGGCGGGGGAAAGCAGTAGCAGTAGCAGTAGCAGTACGGAAAGGAAGCTTGATCAGACGCCAGCATGGGCGCTTGCTGGTTTGTGTGCAGTCATGATCATCATTTCCATTTCCTTGGAGAAGACTCTCCACAAACTTGGAACGGTATCTAACGACCCTTCAATTCAATTATACCCCCTACCACACAAAAAACAATTATTCAACTCTTTCTGCTCCAAAACTTGTTTGGGGAATTCATTATTGCTGCTGCTATTCCTTTTGATTCTTGTTGGTTTTTCCAACTTCTTGCCTAATTAGTTTGTTTGTGGGTTGTTGTTTTTGTTTTTGTAGACTGGATTTTTTTGGTTTTTTGCACGTGGGTCTAGCTGATATTTTATCGTTTTTAGGTGTTCTTTTTGGTTGATTTAATGATTTTATTTATTTATTTATTGGGGAAACAAGTTTTGATTTATGTTACTTTTTTAATGGAGGCAGATCCCGGACGTTGTTTGGGCCGTGGAGCCTAATACGGCACTTCTAACTGTTTTTATAATTTGATTTGTTGAGTATTTTGCATGCTTTATTTACATAAAAAAATTATGTAAATTCAATAATCGTAACATATTTAATTTATCATGTTTGTCACTAAAAAATAGACGACAATTATATTTTAAAAATAAACTATATATTTTTTTGGTAACAAATGCTTTAAATTGAATAAATTATCAGATTAACCTAATTTTGTGTGTGATGAAATATACGAAATGTTCGATAAAATGAACGGTTCATATTATCAAAACGGCCCATAAACATTGCCCTCAGTCGAGATTTTAGACTGGAGGGGATCAAGGTTACGGATGGTACAATCAAACAGTGAGTTAGTTGTGTTCTGCTTGGCTTCTTCTTGGTCTGTTTAGAGTGTTTACTGGGGTTATTTTCCTGTTAATTTCCATTTTTTAAATTCATTTTATTTTTATTTTTTTAAAAATTCCCCTTTATGTTAGGTTACTGGTTCATGTTGCTTAATTCTGTCAATAGCTTTTGAATTTGTTGGTTTCAATTTGGGTTCTTCTGATTAAAATATTGAGGTACTGACACAGTAAAATCTTATGTCAGTGGTTTAGGGAAAGGCACAAGAAAGCTCTGATTGAAGCTCTGGAGAAGGTTAAGTCTGGTAAAGAACATAACTTATGATCACTGATAACAATGCTTTTTCCTTTTCAACCCAATAAAAAAACTGAGCTAGAACATTTTTCTAACTTCATAGTTGCCCTTTACTTTGTTTTAGTACTTTGTTTTAGTATTAGACTCGTGTCTGATTATTGCAGAGTTGATGGTTCTCGGATTCATTTCGCTACTCCTGACATTTGGGCAGAAGTACATTGCAAAAATCTGTATTCCCACCAAGGTTGCCGACACCATGTTGCCCTGTCCTGCAACTGAAACTACCACTACCAGTACAGAAGGGGGGCATCAAAGGAGGCTTTTATGGTATCAGCACCGAATTCTAGCTGCTGCTGATAGCAATATTTTCAAGTGCGAGGATGTAAGTGTTCCTATTGCTGCCATGCGTGCTGAATTGACAATATTCTTGTAGTATTAAAGAATTAGGAGTGATGATAATTAATAATGGGCATCTCTTGTATTTTCTTTCTTTTACTTTTTTGTTTTTTTAATATTTATTTTACTTCACCAAGTAAGCCTATTAATCTAAAAATATTGCACTTCTGATAAAATCAATGCATGTTTTTAATACTTCAATGTGTAGATTTGACGTTTTAATTAGTTTCAGACAATGCCATATGGGCTACAAATTTGTACCGTATTGGCTACTTTTGCTTGCTATTTATTCATTTATAGTGAGTAAATTATGAATGTATTGGTGCAACGTGAAATTGTTGATTGCTTTTTTTTTTCCTTCAAGATTTAATATAGATATCGTTGGCAGTTGGTTTTGTTGCGTAGTAGGTATTAGGGATGGCCCATAGTGTATTGCATGGCCCCCTGCCCATTCAATGGTTCTTAGTTCATGTCTTCAAAAGCAAATGTTTAACCCAATATGGCATGTGTTTGAAGGAAATTGAAATTGAATATAAAATATGTTAAAGCAATACTATAAATATAACTTGCTTTAACGATTGAATCTATTTTGTGCAATATTTGAAGTGTGATTGTTTGTTATTTGATTCTTATTAACTAGTTAAGGGACATGTCTTTATGAATATATATATATTTTTGTTGTTGTTTTTAACTTTCTTTTTTAGATTGCGAAATTATGAATGAGTTTTTTTGGTTTATAAACAAATTATAATCAACCCAAAAAATAGATTCTAAAAGTCTAAAAAAATTAAGTTCAATTGCACAACTCAATCTTTTGTAAGCAACACGTGCCTAACACAAGCTAAACTTATTGAGTTTGAATAGCACTCGGACTAAATATCTTAGGTTGGCAAGTCGAGTTTGGAAATTGGACAGGCATGGGCAATTTCGAGCATTACTGGAGCAGGATCGAGGCAAGTTTTGAACCCAGTCCAACCCACCTGGCTTGCACCCTACCTATGGCCCCTCCGGTATTAGAATCCTAGTTTTGTCCCTGGTAGGTATGATGTTGTTGTGCTATTTTTATTAATATTATTCAACAAGGGGTACTACAATAAGTCCAAAACACAATTTATATGAGTTCATTATCAAAGTTGAGTGATAGTAAAAGATTGGTGTATTGTAGAAACCTAGAGTGACTACTTTTCACGGTTGCATTAGTCATTCAGATTCCAATTCCACATGACTCAAAACTCTTGAGAGTATAAAAGCAGAGCACATATTTTTCTTCCTGACAGTCTAACATCTTGTGAATATTATTAAGAGTCCCTGGAGTCAATACAATTCTGGGACCAATTTTCTTTATTGAATTAAATGCATATTATTAACTCTGTTTGCATAATCAGAACCTCAAATTTATTAAAACCAAAGCTTTACACTCCTTTCATTTCAATACTTGCTTCTTCTGTTGTTTCATTTCAGTTAAATAACTTTAATTTCCCTACTTTTGAGTAGGATCTTTACTACAACTTCCTGACATGCAATTTATTCTTCATTTATTTAACCTGATTCTTGCCAACAACAGGGGAAGGTGCCACTTATATCTATTGAAGGAATGACTCAGTTACGCATCCTCATTTTCTTTTTAGCAGTCATTCATGTGTTATACAGTGCTGTCACAATGACGCTTGGTAGACTAAAGGTAATTTGAAATATGGTTGTTTCTGATGTGTTTTGGTTGTTATACTTGGGAATATTAATGCCATCTAAATCATGATGTTATTTTAGGGAGTTTAGGATACAGTGGGTGGTCAGAGACTCATGGCTGACCACCCGATGCTTCTTACCTAATTGAAATGGTTTATGTTTTTGCTATTAAAATCAGTTGAATTTTAAACAATATCTTCTCCAATATAATGATTGGGAAATGCCTGGCTGCAATAAAGTTTCTTTAAATCAAGTTAGCAAGCAAGCCAAGATGAGTTATTTGCCTGCTTGTTCAACTTTAGCTTGAAAACTTCTCGAGTCCCTGGTTAAGATTCTTGAGTCCAAAGTGGGTAAACCTGTTAACAGCCCTTTGCTCTGATACTCATTCTATAGTTGTACTTGTCATTTTAGATTTCAGATCATCTCTACAGGTAACTTTTCATTGTTTGATGTAAGCTGCATTATGCAGATTCGTGGGTGGAAGCAGTGGGAGCAGGAGACTTTATCCCCTAGATATGAGTTCTCCTATGGTATCATTACATGATAGAAAGGACAATTTCATTGCGATCTAGTTTGAAATTTTCTGTTTCTTGGTCCTGAATATGAGTTTCTCATTAAACTATTGTTTTGTCTACATTGGGAACGTACAGATCCTTCAAGGTTCAGGCTTACTGAACAGACATCTTTTGTGAGAAGACACATTAGTTTCTGGACTAGGATTCCATTCTTCTTTTATGTTGTAAGATATAATTCTGACATTCTCAATTTCATTTGATCTTTTTTAGGCAAAATAGTATAATTTATTTGACTTATTGTTAGAAGTAAAAATATTTTGATACTAAGGAACCGGTACTGTTAGGTAAGCTGGATGAGGCAATGACTCAAGAACTGTCTTAGGTTTGACTCTTTTCCAGCTTACTTGATGCTTAATGGGTGATTTTACTCCTCTGTATGGAGTAATATTGACTGTAAATTGGTTGAGGACATATTGATTGGTTTAACAAAAATAATAATAATAATAATGATAATTATTATTATAAATAAATAAAAAAAGTGACAAGGATTGGGACATTTGACTAGTCTTAAAATAGCTAGGGCTTTTGAGTTCAGTTTTCTGATGGTGTAAACATTCAATCACGAATCATTTGTCATATGTTCAACTCAACATAAGCTTCTAGTGATATACTTCTAAACTTGCAGGGATGCTTCTTCCGACAATTTTTCAAGTCTGTTAGTAAGTCTGACTACATGACCTTGCGCAATGGATTCATCAGTGTGAGAGATTTGTGGTACAAAAACCTATACGCAATTTTGGATTATCTTTCTTTCTTCTCACCATGCTGTTTCTGTAGGTTCATTTGGCTCCTGGAAGTAAATTTGACTTCCAAAAATATATCAAAAGGTCATTAGAAAATGACTTTAAGACAGTTGTGGGAGTCAGGTAATTTTCTTTCTTTATTCCTTTCTTTTTAATATATATTTGTGATTTTTCTGAAATGTTTTCAAGTTTTGATGTAATTTTGCTTAAATTGACAGCCCGGTCTTATGGGCATCATTTGTGATTTTCTTGCTCCTGAACGTTCATGGTGAGGCACTCTTTCATAGTGATATCCATTCTAATTATATTTTTTATTTTTTATTTTTTTCCTGCAGCTTGAATTAAGAGAGGGTATTTCCTTATAAATTATCATCTCTCTTTTCAGGGTGGCTGGCATGGTTTTGGGCATCCTTAATTCCTCTGATTGTAAGGAATCTTTTTTCAGTCATGTGTTTTTGTAGATTAATATTGAAAATGAGTGTTGACCTATGATTGTTTTCAGATAATCTTAGCTGTTGGAACAAAGCTCCAAGCTATTTTGTGTAGGATGGCCCTTGACATCACTGAAAGACATTCAGTGGTTCAAGGGATTCCTCTTGTGCAAGGCTCAAACAAATATTTTTGGTTTGGTTCGCCACAGTTAGTTCTTCATCTTATCCACTTTGCTTTGTTTCAGGTATAAAATGTTCTCTTTTACGGAGGATAAATCTATATAATCTCCCAACTACAACAGAGCGAGTAGTATATTAGTTTGTTTGAACTTTCAAAATCAGCAGGAGTAGAGAGTCATTTTTCTTGTCAATCCATACTGTTGGGATATGCATGTTGGAATTGGGTTACTCATTAATGTTCATTTTGAACCCAAGGATATAAGTAGAGACCAAGGATATCTCATTAGTATCTTCTTGAAAAGATTGAAAAGAAAATTGGTGTGCATAGATTAGAGTAACATGAATTGGGGAATTATATGGAGAGACATGTGATCTCTAATGGTGTGTTTGGTGGGAGGATTTGGGGAGGGATTTGGAAAGGGAAAGGGAAAAGGTGTGTGAAACTAGGTGAAATTTAGATATGTTTTATTCATATTTCACCTACCTTTTCCATTTCTCTTTCCAAATCCCTCCTCAAATCCCTCAACCAAACACAACATAAAGTTTAGTACTCGTTCTCTATTTTAAACGTTCTCCTTAATGACCAAAGGGATTAGCCCATTGGTTAGAGCTCTTACACCTTACTAGGTTGATTCACTTCACCCACTGTCGTTCCCTACCTGCATATGAATCATATTATTGTCATGTTTGTTTGAGGTTTCTCTTTGAGAGTTTATTTGTAATTGTGATTTATGCTTAAATTGTTGATTCATTCTACTTGTATTGAGATACTTCGGTATAAAAAAAAAAAAACCTCTTTTTGGGTCAATCTTTCCTTCTGTTACTAACAGATATTTAATTGCTTTTATGATGCATGCAGAATGCATTCCAGATAACATATTACTTGTGGATATTGGTAATGAATTTTTATTTCTATCTTTGCTATCAAAATATGATTTTTTATTTTTTTATTTTTTGTCAATTATTATTTTTATCATTCCTAAAAGCCTTCACATAAATGACAAAATTTTCTTTCTATGCAGTATGAATTTGGGATGACATCTTGCTTCCATAATAATTTCAAGCTTGTAATTTTAAAATTTTGCTTAGGGTCAGTATTTCTTCCACAATTTCTCTTCTCACAATTTAAATAGCATCTTGAATTGTCAGAGTGAACTTTGTTATGGTTCACAGGATTGGAGCTCTGTTCTTCTGCAGCTACATTACACTTCCCCTCTATGCCCTTATAGCTCAGGTACTTGCTCCGTTAACTCTTCCTTCCTCTAATTTGTGGCATTGAACAAGTTTTTCTTGGCAAACTGAATGCTATTGACACTCTGTTTGTTTGGACGGAAAGTATTTTTTGTATTTTCTAGTATTTAGTACAACAAAAAAGAAAGTCAACAGAAAATGTTTCCTGTGATCAACGAAAATAAATCTATTTAGGTGAAAAATGTTTTTCACTTTTAAAAGGTGCAATATGTTTTTTTGGGACTAAATTACCAATGTGATGCAGGGAAGGGGAATAGGATGAAACTCAAACACAAAAAACAATCACGAATTTGATAAAAGAGATATTCTCTCTAGAAATATAATTAATCCTCCAAAAAAATCTGTCTAGCCAACTCTTATTTATAATAAAACAAAACCCTAATGCAATTAGGAAATAAATAGGAGAAGACAATAATTGCTAATCAAGCCTAAATCAAAGGAATGACGAAAATTATAAAAAATAGAAAAGATTTGAGTTAAGCTCAAATCTGGAAAATATAATGAAAAATATATATTCTGGAAAAAATCTTATCTCAATTGGATTTGTCTAGACTGAGTTATACCGAGTTATTGACTAACCAATTATTCCCACAATGGAAAAATCGAGAAATTGAATGCCTAAATATTGGAATTTGACCGAAATCCATTGTAGGCTATGGTGAGCAATGGGTGTTGGTTGTCACGTCATATTCCATATACCGACTAAATATCACATTATTTCGAGCACGTTCCATCTTGCGTTTACTAGTGCCTTTTGCCTTGGTCTCGTTTATCCATGAGTTCCAGAAACTCTATGGCCAAACACTCTGCATCAGAATGCCACCACTGCCACCCCCACCGCCACAACCCCCCACCCCACTAATACAACAATTAGCACATTAGTCTCAAGGTTGCAACCATAGGACAACTGTTTTTCAGAAAATGTTTTTCACCGAAACAAACGAAGCGTAGTAACACAAATTTTAGACAATGCCAACTCTTATATTCAAGTTCTTTATCAGGCTTTATATTCCTGCTCCTAGGATCTGACCAGTTTTCCCAACTCAAAGCAAACCAACCTATCTAAATTATGGAAATAGGAAACATTTTAGTTCCTCCAAAGTATTATTCTATGAATTTAAGAATACAGTGTAAACTATTGATGTTGACCCTTGGTGTGTCTAATAATTGACTTGCTCATGACTCTCATGGTGAATATTGCAGATGGGCTCACGTATGAAGAAATCCATCTTTGATGAACAAACATCCAAGGCCATTAAGAAGTGGCACATGGCTGCCAAGAATAAGCATGGGAAGGGAGGGAAGTCTCCTACCCAAACCCTGGGTGGAGGAAGCTCAACAACTGCTTCAATGAATTCAACCTTGCACTCCTCCGGAGCCACGCTCCACCGCTTCAAGACTAGTGGGCACTCAACCCGCTCATTCACCCATGATGACCATGAAACTTCTGATTATGAAGCCGATCCATCAACAGCCAACTTGATTGTAACAGATGATCATGATGATTCAGAGACTGAAATGAGTGCACCCCACGTTGGTGATGACAGTAGAAACAAAGACGATTTCTCATTTGTGAAGCCTGCTATGATGAAGTGAAGAAAGCGTATGCTGTTGATTCACTTCACCCACTGTCGTTCCGGTGAATTCTTCAATGTATGTATTTATTCAGGAAATGTTGTAATTTGTTTTATAATATGTTCCAACTTGTGCAGAGATGTGAATTCTTAATTGTTGCTTTATGATCATTATGAACAACTGAAAGATTGTAGGAAAATAGAAAATAGAAAATAGATACTATTTATATGTATACTGTTAAATTTTGGTTTTTATTGCAAGAAGTTATTCCAATGGGAAGGTTTCTCTACTCTTAATCTGTGGCTTCTATATTTATATTCCTAATCATGTCAAGGAATTTATGATGGTTGAAAATTGAGACATTGGATAAAAATTTGAAGGACAGAAGATCCCGGCTCATAGACCACTGTTTCATCTTTGAAACAAAGCACCATTTGTTTTTCATAAATTGTTATACATGTATTCATGTCTAAGAACAGGGTGCTTTTGTGAAGTTGTTAATCACTGGTATAGTGATTCTTTCTATTTTATTTTATTTCCATACATATTACAAAAATTGGGGGTGTGCTCCCTAATCTATTCTATTGAACAGTTTGAATCACCTAATTTACTAATTAAAATAAAGTTTTAATATTATTAAAAATAATTAATTGACTTAATAATTTATTAATAAAAATAATTATTTGTTATTAAATAAGAAATTCTAAAGGACAAGGTTGTAATTCTTAAAATTATAAGAGACAATTCGTATTTTAATTAAGAAAACTTTATGAAGTATATTTATAATTTATCCTAATAGCAATGCTACATCTCTCAATTTTTTCCTAAAATTTTAGAAGAAAAGAAAAGAGTGAAAAGAATTGATTGTTTAGTATTGTTTTTCACATCATTAGGGGGTGTAGGGGAATGGAATTTTTTCAAATAATAATCCGACAATCAAATGTTAGCCGAGACTATCTACTACTTTTGCATAAATTAGAAATATATTCCTTTAAATTTACTTAAAATATAGATGATTCCTTATAATTTTAAAAATTATAAATATTTCTTTATTAAAAATTTTTATTTAACAGAATTAATAGAAAAAATAAAATTTTAACTACTCTCCTATACAACAATAAAATTTTTTGAGCTATTAATTAAAATAACATTATTAAAAATTATTAATTAGTTTGATGATTTATTAATGAAATAGATTACTTGCTATAAAATTTAAAACTTAAAAAAGTATTATGTAATTTTCAAAATTATAAAGGACAATTCGTATTTTGAATAAATCTCCGAAATTTGTTTGTAATTTATCCAATAATTAAAATTTATTGATTAATTAATAAAAAATTAATGAGATTAGGAATTTAACCACAGCAAGCAAGCTATGGTCTTCCCATTTGTCTTATTCCACTGCCACATACATGTATGTTCACTTTTTTCAGTTCAGTCCTTCCTTTCCTTTCCATTTATAAAAACCGACCTAACTGTCAGCCCTAACACTCTGAAAACATCTTCTCAAAACTACACCCCTCCCCCACCTGTCCTCTCTCTCTTACTCTCTCTCTCTGTCTCGTATGTGACTCATCATGACTCGTCCAACTAAATTTCTCAACACCGTCAACTCATCTTCATCGCCGTCGACTACGGCGGCGCAACCGCCGGAGGCAGTCGCCGTCGAGTCCGACTTCGTAGTCATCCTCGCCGCCTTGCTCTGCGCCTTAATTTGCGTCGTCGGCCTCATCGCCGTAGCCCGCTGCGCATGGCTCCGCCGCGCCTCCACCGTATCATCGAACGCCGCCTCGAACAAAGGCCTGAAGAAGAAGATCCTCCAGTCGCTGCCGAAGTTCACCTACGACTCCTCCGCCGCCGCCACGAAGCTCGGCGGAGCTGAGTGCGCAATCTGCCTGGAGAAGTACGCCGACGGCGACGAGATCCGAGTGCTGCCGCAGTGCGGCCATGGATTCCACGTGACCTGCATCGACACGTGGCTCGGATCGCACTCGTCGTGCCCGTCGTGTCGCCAGATCTTCGTCGTGACGAGGTGCCGGAAGTGCGGCGAGGCGGCAGAGGGCGGCGGCGGAGGAGGAGGGAGGTCGGAGGCGGAGCTGAAGGCGAGAGAGGACGCTGTTTCTTCTTCTTCTTCTTCCAGTGGTTTCTTGCCTTTTTGAGAAGAACGGAAGGAAACATATATGATTTCTTACACTCAGAGAGAGGGAAGATAGAGAGATCATCACTCCTCGGTGCTTGAGATTTTAAATCTAAAACAATTGGTCTAATAAAAACTAATTTATGTAAATTTTGTATTGAGGATTATAGCTCATGGTTTTGGTAATTTTTCAGGATTATTTAGTTGTAAATAGCATAGGGTGTTTGGTTTGAGTTTTTTGGATTAAATTTTTTAAAAATTTAGTTTTTTAGTTTTTGTATTTTTTTGTTTTTAGTGAATATTTTTAAAATTTTAATCATTTTTTTTACTTTATTAGATGCACCTTACTTAGATATATCTAAACAGTAAAAAATTTCTGAAAAAATATTTTAAAAAATTAATAAATACATAAAAATATAAAATATGTACAGAATTCTCGTATTTTTTTTTATATTTTTGATACTTAGTGAATTTTTAAAAGGTTTCTTTTATAAATTTTTTACTTTTTAGGTATATTTATGTTAGGTATGTCTAAAAAGTAAAAAAAAATTACTTAAAATATTAAAAAAATTTAATAAAAACAAAAAAATACGAAAAACAAGATAGTAGAATTTTTTAAAAGGAATTTTTAAAAAATTCTAACCAAGCATATATTTTTTTTTAATGCTAAAAAAAGAAAGCTTTTATATGGCTTGGTCAATAATCCGTTGTTAGTCAGATTTAACATTACTTGTAGGACTCTTGCTAAGATATTAGTAGATGCTAACTATCTCGCAAGTGTCCCAAATTATTATGCAATAGGAGTACAATACGTCTGCAAACATACCCATGTATCAATTCTAAAACCTTATACTAAACAGTGTTTTGGAAAAATGATTAGAAATTATTTTTTTAGTTTTTCTTTTTGATTTTTTTGTGAGAGAAGGAAGTTGATTAAAAGTTGAGAAGTGAATTTTGACCCACTTTCTAAAATAGGCCTAAAACTATGTTTGGTTTAGTTTTTTGGTTAAAAAAGTACAAAAGATAAAATTAGTTATATAAGTCAATAAAATAAAATGTCACATTCAAATCATAATTATTATATTTTTTCTCTCACAAAAATCAAAAAATTCAAAAATAAAAACTAAATAAAATTAAAAAAATCAGACTAAAATAATCCAAAAAAAAAAAAAAAATTAAACTATTTTAACCCTTTTCAAACAAAAATTGAGGGAGGGATTGACTTACCACCAAACTACCACCGCCGGTAGTTGTATATACTATTAGAAATGATTAATTTGTGAGATTTGCAATTTTAATCATTCCTCTCACATGGGTCGGTCGTCCAGCATATTGTTCTTGTCGCCAAATACTTGCAATATTAAATTATATTCTAAAATTAAAGTATGTCAAAGTAGTCGTAGATGCAACAGCTCTGGATGTTGGTAAAGAGTATTAGCTATTGTGTTGTTTCCAAATTTTACTGCCTTTCTATTTTAATGTCTTTTAATTTATTGAACATATCTTAAAATTCATTAGAATTGGAGAATGGAAAATCATCAGCGATTGGATAAGAAATTACCAATCTTGTACATAATCTTATTTTTTATTATATTTTTTAATTCTTATAAACAAGGAAATAGAGCTCACATTCATAAATTCACATGAGATTCACTCACTTATCTCTTACTCTGTGTTTGGTTGGGAGATTTGGGGAGGGATTTGCAAAGGGAAAGAGAAAAAGTGTGTGAAACTATGTGAAATGTAGGTATATTTTTTTCACATTTCACCTACATTTTCCATTTCTCTTTTCAAATCCCTCCTCAAATCCCTCAACCAAACACAACATTAGAGTACGAAAATGAGATCAGAAGGAAAATTATATATAACATTTCTCATAACAAATCTATCATGAATTTTTTTTTAAGCACAGCCAGTTAGGTGGTGTTTAAAGTTTGTTTTTATAATGACTTTTTTATTTTTGGCCATATGATAGAATGTTGGTAGGTTAGTAAGTTAGAATACAATGAAAAAATTGCAATCGCATCGACTTGAATCTTGAATCTTGAATCTTTGACCTTTACTATTCCAAATGGCCACTGAGCCAACTGTTCTATCTAATTGTTTTAATTAATGCATTTGGAAAGTTGATTAAAAATATATATATATATATATATATAAGTAAAAAAGTTAATATAAGATATGATTTTTTTAGCTATTAATAAATAATTTAATAATATTTTTCTTTTTAAAACTTTTTTAAACCACAAGTTAGCTTCTTCTTTTTAAACCACAAGCTAACTTGTGAACCACAAGTTAGCTTCTTTTTCTTCTTTTGGGGGGCAAAAATATAAAAAAAGGGAAATCTTTTGGTAGCAAATATTCTGATGACATTTGAAATTTTTGTTTTTTTTTTTTTTTTGGGGGGGGGGTTCAAAAATATTAAAAAAGAGAAATCTTTTGGTAGCAAATATTCTTTCCTTACAGAATCAATCAATTCTCTTTAATCTTCAAAGACAGTTATCTTGAAAGTGAAGAAGTGAAGAGAAAGAGAACGATTTGGTAAGAAGATGCGGCCTACCAAGCGCAGCTCACAAGAAAGCATCAAAGAGAGCTAATTTATGATGTACAGCTTAATACTTGCAAAAACTAAAATCAGAAATAGGAATTTTCAATAATTTCATCACGGAAAATGATTTGTCATTTAAATTTAATTATTATTTTGCATGATTCATATTTGAAACAAATCACAATCAAATAATGTCTTCTTTTTTGGGGGGGATGACTTTTGAGTTTATAACATTACTAAAACCCATCAAATTTGTAATGCTGAACTTGTCTTTGATCCAACAATTTGGATTGGTATTCAATAATTATCCAGTCTTTCAAAAACTTTATAATGACAATGTAGTCATCTAATTTTATTTTATTTTCGTGATTCAACCTGCTCAACTTGTAGGGTTTGGGTGAACAAACAATTCATATAAAAATCAAGTTGATTAAATATCAGTAGTTTCTTAAAATTATTTTTATTCAAATTTTTTTAAGGGAAGTGTGATATGAAAAAATAAAAATAAAAATTTGATCGATATTCTCAAAATCATGCTCGTTCATATTTAAGAGAAATATGATCAAATTATATAGCTTCTAATGTATGATCAACTCAAATTTTTACATGAATATCTATTTAATGACCTTATAAATTGACGGTTCAAATCTATAAGATGAGCCTAGTGTAGACCCACGACCACGAAGATTGGACCCTTCAACCTAAAAATTGGACTAGAAACAAGTTGTCTTCATATTTATATTATTATTTGGAATATCACATAAAAAATTATCGTTTTTAATTCACATAACAGTTAAGTGTTTTTTTATTTATAATTTATTAGTTGTATAAATAAAGAAAAAAATGATATTATTATTCATTTATTACTAAAATGTATATCTATCTTCGTTTATTTCAATGTCTACCTATCATCTGCATTACTTTCGATTACTTTTGATCACTTTAACTTTACTAAAAAAAGAAGTTAGTATAATTATGCCAAAATAACCACAGGGTGGTTGGCCTAGTGGGTGACGACTGGGGCCTGAAGGTTTGTTCCCTCTCAAGTCTCAGATTCGAATCCCCTAAGCAGCAAATGTATATTTTGGGGCCACGGACCGCAGAGCATAAGCCCTGTTTTAAAAGGTTTGTTCGGGTTACAGAGACTTAGTCTGGTGCGTGTAAGCTGACTCAGGATACCCTACATAACAAAAAAATAATTATGTCAAAAGTATAAAATTATTTTTTTAAATCCTAGTGGAAGTGAGTGTAAGTTATTCTAATTTTATTTAGCTCATTTTTTAAAAAAAAAAACACAAAAAGTGATATTAACCATTTTGGTAAAAAAGTGCAGCATCCATTGGAGGGCTTTTGAGAGATATTGGTACAGCAAAAAGCAATCCAATGCTAACAAAGTCCCTCATTCACGACAAGTTATCTGATATGTCAACCTATTTAAAACCAGCCAAATAACAACACCAAAAACACATGATTATTTAATTTGAAAAAAAAAAGGGTGAACATGTGTCATTCTACCATTGGAAGGACCTACTAATAAATAAGGGCAATTGAATTTTTGTACAAAAATTGTATACTGAATATAATCTTTTTATTTCTAATTATACTGAATATATTTTATGTACACAAATTCTATTTATAAATCAGTTCCCAATAAATAAAGATTAGTCACTTTCATACTCCCACTCATCTCAAAACATCTTAATACCCAGTAGAAGAAGAAAGAAAACACAACAAAGTTTAATATGAATCTTTTGGTTAACAACCGCATCCACTACTCTTTCCAACATGGGAGAGAAAAAGTAATGCTGCATAGGAGAGGAGCAAATCTAAAATGATTCTATGTGTAAGCTTCAAGTTTTTTTTACCACCTATGCTTTCCACTTGTTTGTGCCCCCTAGTGGGGTTCATTTTAGATTTTTTTTAATGATTCAAATTATTTATTTTTGTAAAATTTATCAAATATATTGTTCATAAAAAAAAAAATTAAATTGATCAAATGTTGATAATTATATAACTATAATTTAATGTATTTTGTTTGGAATAATTTGATGAAAAATGATGAGAAAAATAAATATTTCTTATATGGAGTGAAAAATGATGAGAAAGATAGCTTTTATTTCTTATTATAAACAGTGAGTTCTGATTAGAAACAGTTAATTGGTTATTTTTGATGTTACCAAAATTAACTATTAAAACATATGGGGTGAATTACATTAATAGTTCTATAGTTTGGGACTTATGTCACTTTGGTCTTTGACTTTTTAATTGTGATATATTTGACCCTGAATTCTGAATTTTGAATTTTGTTTCAAATAATGACAATTGAAGATATCATTAGATTTTTCAAAGGTAAAATCATCAATTTGGTAAAATATAAACTAATCTAACAAAAATAAATGTCAAATAAATATTTTTGAATTTTTAAAAATTATTTCTACTCACTAAAAATAAAATTATGTAAAATTGATAAATCTTTTAGACATTTTTTTTTACCAAATTAATTTTTATTATGTGTTTGGATGATAATCATGAAAAATTAATTTTTAAAAATTAATCATGTAATTTTTATTAATTTTATCATTGGTGGATAAAAATAATTTTAAAAAAATTAAAAATATGTTTTTAACATTTATTTTTATCAAATTAGTTTATATTTTATTAAATTGACGATTTTACCCTTGAAATTAAACAATGACATCTTCAATTTAAAATTCAAGATCAAATGTGTCACAATTGAAAAGTCAGAGACCAAAGTGAAACGAGTCCCAAACTATAAGGACGGTTAATGTAATTTGTCCAAACAAAAAAGAAAAACAAATCTCAGTCATACTTTTTTTAGTACATGTTTTGCTTTAAAAATTCAATCAAATTCAACATAATAATTAAAGAACACTATGTTTTTTTTTTTTTTCCCAACCAGATGAGAAACAACAATTTTATCTTTTATTTTATCACCTGTCATACACCAGGGATGGATATACACTTTTGGAACACCAATTAAGGCATAAGAATTCTCCATATCAGAAATATGAACACCAATTCAACATAATATGACAATGCAATATTTCTATGAAGATGGATATTAATCTGGAAAGCTGAATATTGAATAATATTTCAGAGTCCACATACTTAACACCAGCACTTGACATAAATTATTTAAATATATTATAAATATATATATATTATTTAGAACTCATATTATTCACTTAAAAGTTTTAGGGTCCTGTTATGGTGTGCAACCCCCTTAAGGTTGCACACCATATGCAACCAACACAAAACAAAAGGTGTAAGTGGAAGGTATAAACATAAAACAGGACAGCAAACAGAAAGGCATAAGTGTAAGGTGTAAGTTGCACACTTAAGAAAAGTCCAAAGTTTTAAGTATGTAAATAAAGACATCATTTTTAATATATATTAAAATTCACATTTTTTTTTTCAGTTTGTTCAATGTAAGACGAATGTTACTTATTTTCCTTCTTTACGACGCAATGTGATCTTCATTACAACATTGTGTGCTTAAAATTATATCAAGAATCACATTAAATTATAACTTCAAATTACCATTCAATAAGTTAATAGAATTACGACACTACATGATTGGATCTTACTCAATATAAATATATATGTATATATATAATTAGGTCGTAATTTTAAATTAAATTTAGTTTTCAAATTTTATTTTTTAAAATTTTTACATAAATAAAAACTACTTTAATTAAACAAAATAATAAATCAAAAACACTCAAAATTTTCATATAACTTTACCTTTGGTATGGTGAAATAATTTTAAAAATTTTAAAATTATCTTTTTAATTTCCTTTTTATGAAATTAACTTTTAATTTTCTAAAAAAAGATTTTAAAAATTGATTCACAAATAAAACCAAACAAAGCCCTAAAAATTAACACGTTTTACATCATATACATGAGGGGGTTTGCATCATGCGCACCCAATGCACACTACCATAAAGCTATGCACCTGCCACTGGGTAGATTTGGTAAGAGTTCTCTTTTTTTAAGGTAACCTTTAGCCACTTTCAATTTTAATTAAAAAGTTAAAAAAATATTATATTATTTTTTTATATTTTTTATAAAAAAAAATAAAAAATTATTAAAACAATTTATTCTCAAACGAGACTTAAGAATTAAAATTATCTCATCCAAAAACCAAAACAAAAGTAAAAAAAACCTTTAGAAAAGAGTGCTGCCATTAGCACTTGTCAAAATTCTTTGAACTCTCATTTTATAATTTTTTTTTTATTACAATTATACCCTAAAGTAAAATTACATTAAAAAGATGTTATTAAATGGAATACTCACCTATCAATAAGAACTAATACTCTATAATATTCCATCCCCACCTTCAACTCCAACTATACGTATTCCATGTTTGTAAACCCTAAACCTATTACTTTTCATAACCAACTAACATAAACCCTAAATCTATTATTTTTCATAATCATCTTAAATCTTAAATGTGTCATCTTCATTACCATCATCAACGCTATTGAACTTGAAAGTTTTGCTTCAAGTATAACGTATACTTTATCATCTTATAAGTTTATCTGTCTTGCATTAACATTCTCGGTCGTTTTCGGTCGTTCTTGTTTCGTTCGAGCTGTTCGGTACTGGTTTGCTGACTGTTAGAATTATGTTCGGTAATACAGTACTGAACATTATCCTTTCGTTCAATACATAGGTTCCGAACATTAATGCAAATAGTCAGTTATGTAATTTTCTTTGTTAAACTAACTTAGAATGGAAAAGAGTGAATTGGAATGGATTTAAGTTATGTATTTTGAATAGATTTAATTCATGTTATTTTATTTTGTGAATCGAAATGGATTCAAGTTACACAGTGATGAACAAATTTTGTTCGGACATACAGTGCTGACAGGATCCTTATTGTTCGCCAAAATAGTTCTAAACAAAATACATTTTTTCGGCTACACAGTGGATTTGGGCTACATTCAGAATTCTGATGGCGATTCAGACGATGATTCTGTTTTTCCTCATCTTGCAAACGGTTATACAAATCCCGTAAAAATTGGAGTATCTTCGATCGATCTCAGCGATGACGAAGATACAAAAAACAACGAAGAAGATGATGATGAGAGGATGAGAGAGGTTACTGATTCGGCGATATGGAGAGCGTTCAGAGAAGATGAGAGTCGTCGGAATGCTCTGTTGACGACCGAAACGGCGACCAAAGTGATGGAGGGTTGGGGTCCAAGAATTCTATACTGGACCAAAGCTTCAAACTCTAAAGATTGAGTAAGTCAGGGAAGGAGAGGGATGAAAAATTAGGTGAGTATGCATTTCATTGTGAAAAAATTATGAATATAGATAGATTTGATAATAAGTAGGGTGTCTAAAAAAATATTTTTAAAATTTAAGATTAGGATCTAAAAAAATAGAAGGTCTAAAAATTTTTGATGGGTACTAACAGCATCACTCTTAGAAAATATATATTCTAACTGTCCCAAACAATCAAATGCCTCCAATATATTTCACATATTCTAGGAATCTTCATGATGACTAGACTCTACTTCTAAGTACCAACTTCAAACAATAATAATAATAATAAACCTTCAAATAAATAAATAAACTACCATAAGATTCCTGACTATTTTTATTTAGTTGATTTTTTTTTTTTTAAAATAGTGAATTTTTTACCCAAAAATAAAAAAATTTACACTAGATTAACAAAAAAGGAAAATAATCAACGTATTTAATTTTAGTTTTTTTAATTCAATTTTTTTAAAATTAAGTTTTTTATTTTTTATTTTTCATTTTTACTGTATATTTTTAAAATTTTAAACAATTTTTTTACTTTTTAAATATACCTTATTTAGATGTATCTAAATAACAAATTATTTGCAAAAAAATTTTAAAAATTTAATAAATACACAAAAAATATGAATTTTCATTTTTTTTGTATTTTTAGTATTTAGTAATTTTTGTAAAAAAAATTTTTCATGAATATTATACTTTCTAAGTGTACTTATATTAGGTGTGTCTAAAAATTAAAAAAATTACTTAAAATATTTTTAAAAATTCAGTAAAAACAAAAAAATATGAAAACCAAAAAAGTACAATTTTCTAAAAAATAAATTTTGAAAACTGAAAACAAACGGAGTGAATAATTTTCTTTCACCAAACTAAATTAAAAATATATATTCAAAAACAGATTATGAAAACTTAACCAAATATAAGGGTGTTTTTTTTTTTTTTTTTTTTTCTATAATACGAAAGTGCAGTTTTTGATATTGTACCAAAAACCAATTCCAAGTTTCAACCGTTGATTAGTAATGAGTTAAACTAGATACAAAGAACAAGATGATTTTCGCGATGGTTTTGTGATTTTACTTTATCACTAGACCTAATCCTATTTATCACACACAATCGTGATATTTTATCATCCAATGTAATCAAATGCTTAAACCACTATACCTGATTATGCTTACAGAAAAGATGAGAACCCAGAATTTTAACTACGAAAGTTTACCAAGAAAGTGGATAGATGGTGTAAATGTAAACTTGGTATGTTGCAAGTTCAATCTCCAATAATTTTTCGTGTATTTTTTTTAGGTGTGTAGTCATTGAAATTGGTTATACTTACCATGTAATGTAATCATACTCGTGAATTTTATGCATGTGATAACTAAAAATCAATAGTTTTGTACTATAATTGAACCCTTTATCGATTTTTCATAATGGTTAGTAAGACCACAAAAACCACTTCATTTTTCGAAAAAAATAAACTCACCTTTCGGTATTTACTTTTCTCATTACTTATCAACAGCTAGATTTTTTTTCCTCATCTAGAGCCTAACAATTGGGAATACTTTTTCGTATTGTACCCAAAAACCACATTTTTGTAGCATAGAAAAATGCATGAAGAGAAGGGGCTCAGTAAACACACAAAACCACACCTGTACCAAAACAAGTTCAACTTCAACCCCACAAACAACATGCCTAACAAAGTAGATATGACAATCTCAATCCTAAACAGTCAACCCTTAACCTAAAAATTAGAAGTTGGAAAACAAAAATAACTATCTTTTGAGTTCTGCCTAACATATATGCCGTGTGCAAGAAAATAGATTAAGAAAACCAGTCACACAATTCATTCTCTAATTCTTTTGGAAACACCTACTACATACATGGTAAAATATTATGGTCAAGTGCAATGTGCGCGCATGCCGACATTTTTTAGAACAATTTGAATATTTGAAAATTATGGTTGCCTAATTGCAGCAAATACGGTAAGCAAAATCTTATTTTAACAACTCTAGTTAGGCATCAAAATCTTGAAGCCAAACACATCATACGGTGAAGTCATTAAATCCACAGTAAGTTTTGTCCAAGACAGCTAGATTGCGATTCATTTGAGAAGTAAATATTTTAGATCTTCTGAATAATTGAACTGACCTGATGTAGTTCATAAGTGTTCCTTGTCAGGGCTGAAATTACTCGGTAAAAACTCATTCCGATAAATCTGTCTTGTGGACAAGGTTCTGCAGCTTAAGGATATAAACACACAACAGAAAAGCAACACGCAAAACTTACCCCAAGCTTGTCCATTTCACTAAATATAAAAACCGCGACCAATAGTCACTTTCCATTAATAAGCTGATGTGGATAATTTGAGGATGTGATTTCAGATATGATTCATTGAAACTTGCATCAATCACATCCCTCTTCATCATCACCACTGCTATCCCCAAACATGGCAGCCATTTTCAGGGCCAGATTTGCTGCCATTTCCCTCCTCTGGAAATCAGGTATCAACCTCAAGCTATCACGCATATTTCCAATCTCAGACATCAACTGTTCCAAATCCTCAAAGTCATAATGTGTACCCTTATCAAGTTCTGAGGCTTTGTCAAGCTCATGTGCATTGGGCAATACTTCCCGGTCAACCTCTTCAAGCGAATGAGACATTGATGTAGAAGGCTGATGGTCTCTTCCAACTGAACCAATTTCTTTCTCTCCGCCACTTTCTTTGGATTCAATATTCTGAGAAGCTGACCCCCCCACAAAAGTGGGGGCAACAGAGCCATCTGCCGATACCCATCCATCTGTATCATCCCATGGTTCTGCTGAGCCCGCAGATAATACTTCATACTCAAATTCATAGTCAGATTCTTCTTCTGACAACTCTGAACAGCGAAGATGAAAACATTCAGCAATCTGAATAAACAGAAAGAAACAAGATTCAAAGAATTCAATGAAAGTAGTGCATCAAACCTTGCTTCTCAGGCAAGGATGGTTCAGTTATCTTATCACCAGATTTCAATACCATTCCAGGCCACATATGAGCAGAAAGAGCCTCATAGATTCGCTCAACACCCTGTAAATCACCATCAACTGACAAACCTGTCAAGAAAAAAAAAAAAAAAAAAAAAAAAAGAGCCTCATAGATTCGCTCAACACCCTGTAAATCACCATCAACTGACAAAAAAAAAAAAAAAAAAAAAAAAAACTCTTTTTATCTCAATAAATATGAACCACACATGCAGCAAAAAATTGGAGAATGTGGGAAAATCAAAGGACCTAGTCTACGAAGAACACTTCCATTTCAACACAAAAGTGACTTAAAAGTTATAAACATTATCTTAACAATTTATCTGCTAAGTTTAGGTCTCAAACATGTGTGCCTAAGTTGCTTGAGGGGAGACACATAATTTGACAGTGACACGGTACATAGCAGACTCAGGATATAGCAACATTATTGTAGTTTTTATTTTTTTATTTTTCCAAGGACAGAGCAGGGTATATGTCATTACTGGCTGTAAAACAAGAAGGCCAACATGATTAAATATGGAAATTGAAAACCAGCAACTGAAACATAAGACAAACAAAGAGTCTTACATCTGTCAAAATCAGCATTGGATGCACATGCTTCAATGTATTCAATGTTGTGCTGAGTGCACCACTCCAAACATGACCTCTTAATCTCAAATGGTGATTCTTCATCTCCCAATAAGCTAAATCCTTCAGTTTCAGAAATTCCATACTCGGAGAACTCAGGATCAAAAGAAGATTCTCCAAGTTTATGCAGGCGTCTTCTGTATTCAACATGAGCTGAATGTCCTGGAAGAAGATCCACTTTGTTCCCAATGCATAACAATATTTCAAAGTTCTGAATATTGGTGTGAGAAACCCATTCTTTGAGTGCAGCAAGAGAAGAAAGCTGTGGATAATGAGATAATAGATGACTTCAAATAAATAAATCAGGCTAGCACACAGCAAACTAGCAGTTCACATAACTTTATTCAAATTAAAAATGAAACTTCCACATATGAACAATAGATAGGAAGTGAGAGGGTCTAACATCACTCATGTCAAAAACCATAACCAACGCAGCCAACCGGTCATATATTGGTAGGGCCCCAATTGAAAAGTCATCATGGAGATGAGCCATCCATACAGAAACATCAGCTGTGTAATATTTCGTATTGATTGTCCACCTGATTAATATTAAATAAACCATCAATAGCACCAAAATTTGATACTTTAGGAAATTTCAGATAGGTATGCACATTATTACTACATTAATTTGATCTTTAATCCACATACCCATAGGCAAGTACATCAGATGATGAATCAGAAGCGTCTTCAAAATCCACAGAGAGTAATCCTACAATTAACAGATAGTGAAAATTACAAGTGAGAAGATGTGTCAATCTGTAACCGAGAACATGTACTTAACGGGTAAAACCCCAGTATTAAAGCATTGTCAACTAAAGGACAATAAAAAGTTCTTGCTGCAATAACATTGGCTCACATCAGGGAGTCAGGGACAAATGTTGAAGTCACACTCTACCACAAGTTTTAATCCTTATCTTAAAAGCTAGATAAAGCCTAAATGACTAAAATTGGGTGACATGTTGTCCTCTTTTACTTTGTACCAGTGTTGTGAAAGGCACGCCCAGGCGCAAGGCACAGCGAGGCGCAAGCAGTGCGCCTAGAGAGACCCAAGGCGAGGCACGTTTAATAAGTCGCGCGCCTTGGCCGTGACTTGGCTAGGCGTTGAAAGGTGCAAGGTGTGAGCCTAAGAGGGCTTTTTTTTTGTTTTGCATATGATTATGATCTAACGGCTCTGATCTATGTTCAAAAGGATCCAACCACATAGGATTACAACTCATACAATGCAACTCAACCCAACTCAGTCGACTCAAATCCCTAATCTATCGAAGAAATCTGTGTCGTCTCTTCCTCTAAGCTCGTCTCTATCGACTTCGACTGAGGTAAGTTCTTCTTTTTCTTCTTTTCTTCTCCTCTTCTTCTTCACTGGTTGTTGGGTATTCGATTCAACCTCCTCTTCTTTTTTTTTCTTCTTCTTCTTCTTCGTCTTCCTTCACTAGTTGCTAGGTATTTTTTTTTTCTCCTTCCCCTTCTTGTTCGTTGCTTTTTCTTCGTTGCTATATATATATATATATATTTTTTTTTTTGATAAATAACCAAACTTAATTAGAAAAGCATCAAGAAGATGCAAAGAGATACAAAACTCAAAGCCACCACGACACAAAGAATTAACAAATCAAATCCCTCACAAAATCTAAAAAAGCCAAAACATCAGGATTGACCGAATGTGTCACCCAACTATACAAAACCGTAAGAAGGCAACTCTCTAACCAGGGGACCAAATGAGATACCCCTTGGAAGACACACCTATTACGCTCCAACCACACCAACCATGCAATACAATGAGAAGCGAGCATCCACACCTTCCGACACCACCTCTCAAAACGACCCCTAGCCCAGCTTTGCAGAACTGCCTTAACCAAATGCGGCTGCACCCAAGCCAAGCCAAAGGTTGCAACAACAAGCATCCACAGACGGGAAGCGATCAGATAATGAACCAGCAAATGGTCCATCGACTCCGCATCACCACAACACAAACAGCACCAATTGACCAAAATGTGGCCACGACGAATCAAGTTATCCAAGGTCAAAGATACGTCCTAACATGGCCGTCCACACAAAAAAGGCCACCTTGGACGGCAAACCTGACACCCAAACACATCGCCAAAGAAATACAACAGCCTCGTCATGAACAAGCACATCATAAAACGAGAAAACAGAAACTTCCCCTTAGCCCTAGGACAATCCCACACCAAAGAATCCTGCCCAAACTCCTCAAAACGCAATGCATATAAAAAACCCAATAGCTCCAGCAGCTGATCTTGCTCCCAATCTTGTACATCGCGGCGCAAATGCACATTCCAAACAATCGATTCCCCGTGCCCAGACTGCACAACCCCTACCAGCACCTCCATATCAGCGGTAATACCAAAAATCAAAGGAAACCGCACTTCTAAGGAAAGGTCCCTACACCACCTATCCCGCTAAAACCGAACTCTATTCCCCACTCCTACCTTCAGCTTAACCCTCCCCCAAAACTCCTCCCACCTCAACCAAATCCCTTTCCATAGACCAAGACCATGGGACTGCCCCACCCGCCCGAAACATCACCCGCCCCGCCCTTCACCAAACTTGGCTACCATCACCCTCCTCCAAAGACGGGTGCTCTCCGCCGTAAAACGCCACAACCACTTGCCTAACAAAGCCACGTTAAACATAGCCAACCTCCGTATCCCCAAACCCCCATTCACCTTAGGGCGACAAATCCGGTCCCAAGCCACCAAATGAGAGGAAGTTTCCCCCCATTACCCCATAGGAAATCCCTTTGCAACTTCTCAATCCATTGCGCCACTGACACTGAGATCACATGAACAAACATAAAGTAAGTCGAGATGCTAGATAAGACACTCTTAATCAAAGTGAGTCTACCACCTTTAGATAAGTACTGCCGCTTCCATCCTCTGCCAACCGTCGCTGCACCTGATCCACCACCGCATCCCACACGCCCTTAGCCTTGAAAGACGACCCCAGAGGTAAACCCAGATAGGATACTGGCAAAGACACCACTTTACACCCCAGGATAACTGCCAACTCCGGCGTCCGCGGCACCTCACTGACTGGAATCAATTCCGACTTGGCCAGGTTCACCCGGAGACCCAAGACTACCTTAAAACACAACAACACACATCTCAAGTGGCCAAGCAGGGCGTCATTCGCTCCACAAAAAATAAGCGCATCATCCGCATAAAACAAATGGGATACCGTCAAAACTGCAGGAGCCACTCTCACGTCAAACCCCTGCAACAGACCACGTTACACCGCCCTAGACAACAACCGCCCAAACCCCTCCATCACTAAGATGAACAACAAAGAAGATAACGAATCCCCTTGTCGAAGCCCTCTGTAAGTAGGAAAAAAGCCCGTTGGGCACCCATTGACAAGGACCGACATCCGCATTGTAGAGATACAAAATTGAATCCACCTCCTCCATCGATTCCCAAAACCTAATATGTGCAGCATATATAATAAAAACTTCCAATTGACATTATCATATGCCTTCTCAATATCGAGCTTACAAATAAGGCCCGCCTGCCCTTATCGAATTCTAAAATCCACACATTCATTTGCCACTAGGACCGCATCCAGAATTTGACAACCACCCATAAAGCATTCTAAGACTCAGAAACCACCCATTCCAACACACCACGTAATCGATTCGCCAACACTTTTGCCAAAAGCTTATACACACTACCTAAAAGACTAATAGGCCGAAAATTCCAAATATCCTCAGCCCCACCCTTCTTGGGAATCAAGACAATAAATGTGGCATTAAGGTTGCGCTCAAATTCCCCTGTCTGATGAAACTGCTCAAACATGGCCATGACATCTGCCTTCACCGCCTCCCAACACTGCTGAAAAAAGGCTAAGGAAAAACCATCTGGACCCGACGCCTTATCACCAGGCATACTTCGTAAAGCCTCAAACACTTCATCTTCTACAAAAGGCCGGTCCAGCAACCAACTATCGTCCTGTGAAATAGCATCAAACAAAACACCATCTAGGCCCGATCTCCACATCTCCCCCTCATCCCGAAATAAATGCTCATAAAAACCCACGATACCTGCGTTAATCTCTTCGGAAGATGACAGCTCTACACCATTCACTCGCAAGCGGCCTATCTGATTCACCCTACGATGAGCATTTTCTATACGATGGGAAAACTTAGTATTGCAGTCCCTATCCTTTAGCCATAAGCATCTAGCTTTCTGCCATAAGCTAATCTCCTCCATTCGAGCAACCTGGGCAAACTCTACTCGAACCCTCTCCCGACGAGCCATATCCGCCACAGACAATCCTTCTTTGTCTTCTTCGCTGGTTGCTCTCTGATTTTTTTTTTTTTGCTTCTTCGACTCTCTTTCTCTCTCTCTTCCTCTTCTTCTTCTTCTTCATCTTCTTTGCTCTCTGTTTTTTTCTTTTTCTTGCTTCTTCAACTCAGTTTCTTGCTCTCTGTTTTTTTCCCCCCCCCGCTTCTTCTTCTTCGCTCTTTGTTCTTTTTCTTCTTCTTCTCTGTTACATGGAATAATGCAAAAATGAGAATAGCAGCAGTTAGCAAAAATGAGAATAGCAACAGTCTTCTTTTTCTTCTCTTCTCTCCCTCTTTTTTTTTTTTTTTGGTTTCTCTTCAAAACTTGTCTTTGTTTTTTTTAGTTTTTTTTTTTTTGCAATTATATGTCTTTGCTTATTATTATTATTATTATTTTATTTTTATTTTTTTATTATTATTATTATTTTTTTCAAATTGTCTTAGTACTAGTATGAATCATTAGTCTATCTTAATTTATCTATTTTTTACTAAGACTGTGCGCCTTGCTTTAATAAAGCCTGCGCCTCGCCTTGCGCCTTAAGCCTCAGCCCCAAGAGACCTTCAGCGCCTTGGTGTGCCTTGAGCCTTTAAAAACACTGCTTTGTACATGTGAAAGAAACAACATAACTGAATAGTAAAAAAATTTCAAAGGAAGGAGAATTCTAGAAGAAAAAAGTAACAAGTCTATACCAAGGACAGGGGAAAAGGCAACAAGGAGAAAATGAAGAGAGAGAAGAAGCTGCCGCCCTTTTAGCCATGAAATCTGCTTTGGCAATTTCCCTCTAGAACCAACTCTATACTGCAATGTTAATGATCTCCATAATTACATGTAAATAATCCATTAGGCATGCGAAGGCATATTGAACTACCTTATTATCATTATAATTGTGTAATCTCCTTTAAGCCACATATCAAATAAACCACCTTCTCTTTGACTTCTTCTAGGTCCCAAAAGAAGGCCAGGTGCATGCCTTTGAAAAATCCCCCAAGGCTAGCTGATCTAGAATGGGCAACAATATAACACTCCATTGCGGTCTCTTCATCAACCACCATATACGAATCTGCCAGGGGTTACATGGGAGTTCCCAGCAGCGTCAGTTTTTTAATAGCATAATTGGGGGAAGAATCAAATCTTTTAAAATGATTTGCTCATATGAAGAAGCAATAAAAGAGGATGAGCTAAGGTACTTATGATTGAGACTGAGAGGGAGGCAGGCACATTAGTCCTATTGACAAATGGTTCGAGTGATTATGTGTGTTTCCAAGTTTTCAAAACAATGCAATCCACATTAAGTTCCATCAGCTGTTCCCAAAGCTTGGGAATCTTTCTAGAAGGAAACCTATAATTTCTTTTAAAAACACCTAGCTAACAAACACAGTTCTAAATAATATAGTCCAGATGGCATAAGCATACATACCTACACCTACAAAACCATCTCACACTTTAGGTACAAGTTCGAAGGGATAGATCAGGGTTTAATTTAGGCCTTGTTTGGCATAAACTAAAAAATTCAAAAAGTTAAAAAGTCACTATCCTATTTAAGTCGCATCATCTTATTTAAGTCACATCACCTCTCTACCATATCATTTCAAACCCAACTCATACCTAACTCATATTTCATAAAAAGTCAAAAAGTGCACTTATTTAGATAATCCCAAACAACCCCTTAGTGTACTCCATTTCACAAGTGTTCAGCCTGTTAAAAGCAAAGGCTTTGACCCAAGTGGGCGCTTAACATTGCAAATTAACTTCCCATGTAAATTTAGAATAATAGAGTTGAAGGACCAACTTGGGTAAAGGGATCAAACTCAATAACCAAGGGAAACATCAAAGATGTAAACCTCATAAGGACCTCGTAGAAGTGATTTTAGCAGCATCCCCTCAATTGCATTGCAAAGGGTGTAGAAATCTTCGTGAGACCAATAGGAGAATTATGGTTAATTCTAGAATATTGCCATTTAAATTTCGCATGGAATGCCAAATATATAAAGGCCATGTGACAAGAACAAGAAGCATAACCGCATCTTAAGTAATTAGGATTAAGTTGTTGACCACAGTCCATGATTGATCAAGACAACAATTCCCAACATCCAATTTACTTAAGGCTGGGTAGAAGGCATTTTTCTCCATTGAGTTCAGTCAAAATCTATGTCATCAGTGAAAATCAAACTGACTACCTCTTTTCACATTGTATTCAACATGCACCATCTAGCCTTGCACTTGTGACACCTTCAACTCGAATCAATTTATTTTTCCAAACAAGGGCATTAATTGGCCTTCATTGCAAATGATGAAAACAATTCAAAAGATGTTCACTTTTACCCTCAACAAGTGGCACCTCATGAGTCATGAATGCATTTCCTTGTTAGTTTATAACTTATGGCACTACCATTTTCCTTCCATCTCAATATCATCACTTCCACAACTTTCACATCCCAATATCCACATCATCTCTCATATGATATCAATCAACTTTATAGCTTTGGAATTCCATAGGTTTCAGCCCCACCTATCTTGGGATGCTGAATTACCCAAAAAAATTGGGCATCCTAAGGGATTTCTATAGTCACTTTGAATTTCTTTTCCTTTCTTATTTTTTTCCCCTGATCAGGTGTCCACTTTTGGAGTTCAAGTTTTGTTTACAACAATCCAAATAACCAACACCAATGCACCATGCCATGTAGGATGACTCACGAAACTCCTGTTAAAATTTCTTTGTGACATATGCTCGTTGATTGGGTATCTTGAACGTGGAGATATAGTCAACTACATTGTTTGATGGATTTCACTCTATCATGGTGGTTTTTGATGTTATAGTCTAGGTCAGATACATACTTACTTCGGATCCAATTCATGAGCCACCACACACGGAAATGGGACAAAAAGAAAGCCTATAGGGTAAGCAGTACATTTCAATAAAACAGACGGTTAAGAAGACGACCAAATGATGAACATGCATTTGTTTCACAAAATGAGGGTTGCAAACTTACAGATCATATATCTATTCTATTTATTCTATTATATAAAGCACACATTTTTATTCAGAAAATAACCACAACAGTATTAGGTTTTGCAAATATTTACCTTTGCATAGGGAATATTGCAAGAATTAAAATAAATAAAATCAACCAATGAAAAACTATCGTTGAGTTGCCCATTACTCCCTTTCAACTCTCACCCACGATACGTTCAATTGCACTCACTACTGTGCTTACTCTTCTAGTTCATAAAAAAGAACAGGAGCACTCAATTGCTGAACATTGCTGTTTATGATCATGATCTTTTAAAAATAATGGTGTTGACATCTCTACCATGACATTTACATATCTACTCTAGGGTTTAAGTTCCTAAATAAGCAACAGAACACAAAATCTCCCTAATACAGATTTTCCAGTTCATGCTAATTCCAAGTTCACCGACCAAGACAGAAATTTTCCATAAATTTGCACTTAAAATGCTTGAATCAATCAATCAGTCAAATGTTATACACCAGTTTCGTATAAAATTTCAGATTAAAATGTGAATATAATTAGGGAATCAAGTAAAAAGTAATCCGAGTGAGAATAAATCGGTAGAGAGAGAGAAAGAAAGAGAGACTTACGGGAGAGGAGGGCACGTTTACCAACGTTGGAGGATCCGATGATGAAGATTCCGGGGCTCTGCTCTAGAGAAGCCCTTTCAACACCGACTTCCTCGTTCATGTCTCTTCTTCTTCTTCTTCTACTTCTACTTCTCCGTTGAAGATTGAGGGGGATGATGATGTGGAGGAGGAACGATATGAGAGAGCTCCAATCGCTTCCCTCAAATGCGTTCCAAATGGCCAAGGCCGGGTCCGATACCCACCAATTACAACTCGCCGCATCATTTTTACATTTAAAAAAATATATATTTTTGCCAAAATCGAATGCTTTCACTCCGGTTGAACTTTTAGTGCTGGTTTGGCATGATATTTTAGGCCTCGGTTGATAACATGGTTTTTTAAGTAAATTTTTGATTTTTTAGTTGAAATGTGATGTGAAAAAAATTAGCATATTTAATATGATTTTTTAGATTTTTAAGAAAACTTGTGCATAAAGAAAAAATGAAATCTTTTACTTTTTTATATGAGTTGTTGACTTTTTAACTTTTTTAGTAATTTTTTTATTTTTTAACTAAAATGGGCACTTGCCAAACGAGGCCTTAGTACATTATTTTTTTGTTTTTTTTGGTAAACTCTAGGCAGAAGCCAAAACTAAGGAAGAACACTACGAGAGGAACCAAGCCCCCATATATCTCTATCTAAAGCAGGAGCCAAAACAGAAGGCTCATCTAATAAATCTTCCCTGTTAACAGCTATACTAAGGGCCCCTTTCGCAAATAAATCAGCACAGGCATTAGCTTCCCGCCCAATTTGTTGGAGGTCGCACTCCCAACTCCTTGCCATAAGCTCCCAAATTTTGTGTAATAAATTAAACTGAGGGTGCAGTGGGTTGGTTTTTCTCAAGGCCGAAACTGCTTCCGCTGAATTCGACTCAACGACGACCCGATGATGTCCTTCGTGCCAAGCTAACTGCAAACCGTGCCAGAGACCCCATAATTCAGCAAACACAATTGAGGAGTGGCCCACTTGCTGCTTAAAACCACATAACCACTGTCCTTGAGCATTGCGAAGCAGACCACCACATGCAGCCTTACCAGTGCGCCGACAGACTGCACCATCAACGTTGAGCTTTACCCATCCCAACGGGGGGTGCTGCTATACCACGTGGATGGTAGTTGCATCCTTCTTGTGCAAAGTCTTATTAGAATGAAGCTGAAATTCCTTAACCCGGCTATGGATAAGTTCCACCGGTTGAACGGGCTCCTGAAAAACACTATCATGAAGTTGTTGGTTACGCCAAAACCATAAGGATGAGATAGCAGCCATGAAAATTAGGGCCCAATTATGGCTGGTAACATCAGTCCAAGGGGGTTTGCCCATATTCACATCAATCCAAACAGCTAACGGAAGAGAAAAGAGCTGTAGCCAATGCGAAGGAGGGATAAGCTCAGACTAAACGCGTTTCGATCGGTGGCAATCTCAAAGTGCATGAATTGTAGTCTCAGCATGGTGTAAACAAATACAACAGGATGAATCAACACTCAAATGTCGTTGATGCTTCATGGCATTGGTTAACAGGCGGTCCCGCCGGGCAAGCCAAGTGAAATGCCTCAATCTATTAGGCCCCACACTACACCAGATCAGCTTCCAGCCCTCTGAAAGATCATCCCGTGGGGGATTATGCTGCTGAATAAGAGAGTAGGCTGATTTAATGGAAAAAGTTCCATTGGGGGAGTGCTTCCAACTTAAAAGGTCAGGATTGCCATCATCCGTTCGAACCATAACGGCACGCAAAGTATCTAAGTCTTCACTAGGGAGCCAACAAGCCAATCTGTGCCAATCCCAACCAGTTCCATCAAGCCAATAGTCGCAAATTTTGAGCAAAAGTTCAGGTGCTGGGAGGGGAGAAAGAACACGCTGTTGAAGAGGGCAGTCATCCAACCACAAGTCTATCCAAAAATGTATCAATCGGCCATTGCCCACATGCCAGCGAGATCTATCCCTTATCACAGAAGCTCCCTTGGTGATACTACGCCAGGTGTAAGATAAGTTGGTGGGGCAAGGATCCCACAACTTTCTCCTGTCTGGTAGATATTTACTGCGAAAAGCACTAGCCCAAGGTGCGGATTCGTGTAACACACGCCAACCCAATTTGGCCAACAAGGCATTATTGACATCCCTCATCTTGCGAAGACCCAAACCTCCATCTCCTTTAGGCTGACACACATCCTCCCAAGCCACAAGAGACATGCGCTACTGCGCTTGATCACCACCCCAAAGAAATCGACAGTAACATTTGTCAATAGTTGAGCACACTGAACCAGGAAGATGTGTAGATTACATAGCATAGGCAGGTATGGAGGAAGAGACCGATTGAATAAAAGTAGCTCGGCCAGCCAGAGATAGTTGACGAGCTTTCCACCCTGCTAATCTGTGCTGGACCCGATCAAGAATGTGATTATACGTGCCTTTTGGCACGCGATTGTGTAACAAAGGGACGCCCAAATAGTTACCCAAGTGAGAGGCAATAGGGATGCCACTGTCCAAACTCAGGTCCTGTCCAGTTTGTCGAGGAACAGCTAGAGCAAAAAAAATCCTAGATTTCTGAAATTAATTCATTGGCCCGAGGATGTACAAAATGATTACATGATATGCTTAATGACCGACATCTGCCTGGTAGAAGCCTCCCCAAATAGAAACATGTCATCCGCAAAGAAAAGATGCGAAAACCTAGGCCCTTGCCGAGAAACCTTAACTGGTTTCCATTGCCGCTGGGTGACTGCCTCAGATATGCTCCACCCCAATTTTTCAAGGCAGAAGAGAAATAGGTAAGGTGAAATGGGGTCCCCTTGACGTAAACCTCTAGAGGGTTGAAAGTATGGAGTAATCTCACCATTCCAGAGAATTACAAGTTGAGTCGTAGACACACATTGTAGAATTAGAGATGTCCAGGAAAGAGGAAAGTTCATTTCAGTTAACACCTGTTCCAAAAAGCTCCATTCTATCCGGTCGTATGCCTTTTCTAGGTCGACTTTTATTGCCATTGTATCGTGGGTATTTTTAGACTTCTTCATGGAGTGTAACAGCTCTTGAACCAACACAATATTATCAGTTGCTTGTCTTCCTAGAATGAAGCTACCCTGAAAAGGGCTAATCAACTTGGTTAAAAGCGGCCGCACTCTAATCACCAGAATTTTGGAGAGAATCCGCATAGTAACATTACTGAGGGAAATAGGTCAAAAGTGGGTCAAACTGGAGGGGTGATCAATTTTGGGGATAAGTGTAATCAAGGTTTTATTCAAATCCACAGGAATGTGCCCAGACTGGAACATATCCTGAATAACGGTGGTGAGAGCAGGCCCACAAGTATCCCAGAAACGTTGGTAAAAGAAAGGTTGAATCCCATCCAGTCCAGGGGCCTTAAAGGGGCCTAAAGAGAAAACTGCATTTTTAACCTCTATAAGGCTGATAGGGCGCGCTAGCGCAGTCACCTCTTGCGGTGTTAAAAAGGGCAATGACTGAGGTAGAGCAGAAACAGGACCCACAACTTCAGTCTTAAACAACTGCTGAAAATGCTTGACAGCTCTAGCTTGAAGCTCAATTTGGTTTGTGCACCAAGTACCATCATTATTTTTTAAAGCCATGATCCTATTGCGCTTGCGTCGAATAAGGGTCGAAGTATGAAAGAAACGAGTATTGGCGTCACCAAACATGAGCCAGTTGGATCTAGATTTCTGATACCAAAGCATTTCCTCTTGCAACAACAGCTGATTATACTCAACGGTGAGGTGAGATTCAAGATCTTCAAGGAAAGGATTGGAAGCCAAACTCAAAGCTTTTTGGATACCATGCAGTCTTGCTAACACACGCTTTTTATTCCAGAAAATATTTCCAAACACCTCCCTGTTCCAAGTAGTAGCGGCAGCCACGAACCGTTCAATTCTAAGCGGCAAGTCTTTCTCACTAAAGTTCCATGATTGCTGCACAAGGGTTTCAAACGTAGGGTGGGTTAACCACGCAGCCTCCATTCGAAACGGACGCCGCAAAGGGTGAGGGACAACGCCAAGAAGTGAAATAAGAATTGGACAGTGGTCAGAATTAACTCTAGGAAGATGTTGGACCCAAGCTTCAGGAAAAAGGGTATGCCATTGGTCATTACAGAGAGCTCTATCAAGTCGTTCTTTTATATTCGCTAGGCCATGGCGGCCATTAGTCCAAGTGAATTTGGGTCCCGAAAACCCCAAGTCAGTCAAATGGCATTCATCCATAACTTGGATGAATCGCGAGAGGCGTCGTTGGGTGGAGGGTGCACCTCTTTGCTTCTCAGCATTGGAACTTATTTCATTGAAGTCGCCCGCAATAAGCCAAGGAAGGGAAAGACCATAAGCAACATCCACCAGATAATGCCATAATTCCGAACGAGAAGTAAAGTTTGGACTAGCATACAAAGCTGTGAAGAGCCAATCTACTTCATTCCGTCTCCGAATAATAACACTGAGAGCTTGGGGATTGGGAGGGAGAACTTCCATTTTCACTAAGTCAGCCCACCAAAACAACCAAATACCACTAGCAAAACCCGTAGCCTCAACAGCTGCCATATCTGAAAGTCGAGTTCGGCGAATTATGTGTTTCGCTTTCTGGTTGGCAACACGAGTCTCAAGTAAGACCAAAATAACAGGGTCATGAGACCTAACAAGTTCACAAATTGTCCTGAACGTGGCATCATTACCAGCTCCCCTACAATTCCAAACAAGAACCTTCATGGAGTTGGCCAAAAAATGGAGGGCCAAAGGCCGTATCAAATATCTATCTCAGTTGACCCAGGTGGATCAACTTTTGTTGCCGTAGCTACTTCAACAGATCCCTGCTCATCTAGAGTTGGGTTAGAAACATCTCGGGATTGCACTATATTCTCATTAGAATACGATGGGCAGCTTGCACCATTAACTGGGTCACATCGATTAACGAGTAGTGAGTGACTAGAATTGGGCAAGATGTCTGGTGGTCGACCAGGAACGGTAGTGACCATCTGATCAAGAGGTAGGGAAGGAGTGGGAGGGATAGGAGGTAGGGTGACAGGGTGGGCTGCCAAAGAGTGGCCATCTTGACTCTCTCTCCTAGTTTCTGAACCTCCTGCCATGAAGGATCAGAGAGGGGGAAAGTCTTGTAAAGATATGGAAGGATTGAAGGGAGCTGAATTGGGGGTGGCACTTGAGTGGTTGGTGGCTTTATGTGGACTAGAGGCAACCTGCAGAGGGGGGTCAGGTAATTTACGCCGTGGGCTTTGAGGGAGAGGCTTTTTGGAGTGAGCTTGAGAGGTGAGAGGGATGGATCGGGAGGTTTGTCCAGCAGACGACCCAACATTAGCAGCACAACCCATAGAAAAAGGGCCCAACCCTATTGTATCCAAAGCAGGTATTGGCCCAACTTGATCACTGAAGGCATTACCATGGGCATCCATTAGGGCTGAAAAACGATTACCCATATTACCACGTGACACCACAGCCTCACTCTTCTAAATGGTTGAATATGCGCTAGCTGGACCCACTGTCCTCCTCCCACCATTACCAGAGAATGAGGGATTATCTATTTTGTCAGAACTCGTACAACGCGTGTGGCCGACTGTACCCCGAGAACGTGATTGGGCAAGCATCCAGGGTCCAAACTTTTGCCCTGACTCGACGCCGGTGTGCAAGGAGTCGACAGCCGGCGCCTCGGGCACAGTATCATTCCCAACTTCCGTCCCCATAGGTGGCATTAACGATGGACACCCATCTTGTTTGTGGCCATACTTCCCACATTCAAAGCAAATAAGGTGTAAACCTTCATATTCAACAACAAACTCCACATTGTTGATACCCACCTTGGAAACCAGAGCATCCTTGAGGTTAAGCTCAACACAGACCCTAGCAAATCTCCCTCTCGATGCATCCGCTGTAAGCTTATCTGTTTTGATGGCTCGACCGACCAAACTACCTAATCGAAGTAATAGGTTTTCATTAAAGTATCCAATTGGCACTCCCGGAAATTGAATCCAAACCATGGTAGACGGTAGTTCATTGGCAAGTGGGCGAAAATCCGGGCGCCATTTACTGACGGTGAGATAATGCCCAAGAATAACCCATGGTCCATCCAACAGAACATGGACATAATCAGCCTTACATGTAAATCGAACCAGATAGTAGCCCTCGCCTACATTAACTACATCAATAGAGTGTTGAAGCTGCCAAATCTGCTTCATCCTTTATGTCAAAAGACAATATCCGACGGCACGCCCTAGGACCTTGACTATGAGGGCCTTACGCCATGGAGCTCGAAGGGTTGACAGTTCTTCAGGTGGAACTGTGATTCTGGGGCAATCAGGGACCAGCAGAGTGTTGTCAGCCTCGAGGAGGGTAGGTTCCTCATCATCACACTGTCGCCCTGGTACCAGAGCTTGGTGTTATCGCTAGTGAGGGCCTCCATAAAAGACGAACCAGGCAGCCTCGAGGGGGCGTGAGATACCTCACGAGCTTCCCAAAAGTCCATGCCAAAGGAACCACTTCCATCGTCGTCAATCTCCTCCAGTGACCCGTCCTCCCGTCGTCGCTTGATTTTCTTGGTGCTCCGCCGGAGCAAATTTGTTTCCTCTGAAGAGATGGGTTTCCCCTCTCTTTCTCGCTCTAGCTCCATAATTTTCACATTATTTTATTTATAATTATAACATTATTTTATTTATATTATAATTATTTTATTTGGATTATATTCAGTGGGTTTGGTTTGAGTTTTTTAGATTAAATTTTTTTTAAATTGAGTTTTTGATTTTCGTGTTTTTTTGTTTTTAGTGAATATTTCTAAAATTTTAAACTTTTTTTATTTTTATTTTTTTAGATGTATCTTACTTAGATGTATTTAAAAAGTAAAAAATTTGTAAAAAAATATTTTAAAAAATTAATAAATACATAAAAATACAAAAAATATACTAAATTCTCGTTTTTTTTTTTTTTTTGTATTTTTGGTAAGTGAATTTTTAAAAGGTTTTTTTTACAAATTTTTTAATTTTTAGGTATATTTATGTTAGGTATAAGGGTGGGCAACGGTTTATCTGATCCGCAAAAACCACCAAACCTACATACAAATGGACGGTTTTGCAAATACAATGCAGGTGGATGCGGTTTGAAATATGCCATGTTTGCAGGTTGCAGGCGAGTTGCGAGTTTAACCCCGTACACGCAAGAATCCACCCGCACTTTCTTCTTTATATATATATGTATATATTAACCGTTGATTTCATTCCTATATCCCACCTAGATATTTTTGCCTAAAACAAAACACCATTTATTCTTTGAACTTACTGTAGCATTACATTTGCTAATAGCATTATATCAACTGAAACTAAATAAATACTGATCAGATTATTATTGTTACATAACTGAACTTGTTCCGAATGAATTGTGATTTGGAATTTTAAATTCTTTATTGAATATGGAGTTCTAATTTAGGATTTTGAAATATGTGCTTGTATTAGTTTATGATTTGATTTAAGATTTTGAATGATTTGTTTATGTTATAAATTGGTTTTGTTGTGTTTTTAATTTTATAAGTTTTAATTCATTAATCATTAATGTTTGAGCATTTTAGAATATGGGAAGAAAAGGGCCCAAAATAAATATTTACAAAATAGGAAAAAAATAAGGCTCAAAAATAAATTTTTGAAGAAAAAAGTTCAATCCGCAAACCACTCACAACCACCTGCACATCCACGAACCCTATCTGCATAAACCGCACTACGGGCAGTTGCGGGTTGTCTTTTCCCCAAATCGCATAAATGCGGGCAGGTCCAAACCGATCCGCAAACCGTTCAAATCCGAATCGCAAACACCCCTAGTTAGGTATGTTTAAAAAGTAAAAAATATTGGTTAAAATATTAAAAAAATTCAGTAAAAACAAAAAAATACGATAAATAAGAAAGTAGAATTTTTTAAAAAATGTTTTTGAAAAAATGGAACTAAGCAAAGTGATTATTTTTTCATCACATCACTTCAAATTCAACTCATATTTCACTTTTTTTTTTTTTTTGCAAAAAGTCAAAAAGAATACTTATTTAGCACTTCCCAAACAATCCCTCAATTGGATCAAATAATTGAGATTTTTTTTTCCGAAAAAATTATTAAATAGAAGCTTAGATTTCATTTGGAAGTAGGTTATTTTTGTATTTTTGTATTTTTTTGGTTAAAATATGAGATAAAAATTAATATGTTTGAAATGACTTTTTGATTTTTTATAAAAAGATGTACAAAAAGTAGAGAGAAAATAGAATCTTTGACTTTTTAATATAAGTTATAGATTTTTTGATTTTTTTAGTAATTTTTTGACTTTTAGGCTAAAAGTGCTGCATGCCAAACGAGACCTTATTACCAATAAAAGTTATTAAATTTAAGATTCTTATTGGTAAATTTTTTTGAAAAAATTTAACTGGATTATATTTTTATAGGCTCTTATTGGTAAAAAATTTCCATTTAATGACTCTTATTGGTAAGAAACTTGCGTTTAATGATTCTTATCGATAAGAAACCTTAATTGTCTGGTCCAATTGAAAGTTTAACTAGAGAAGCCAAATTCAAACTAAAATGGGGTAATTAAGAAAAAAATTTGGGGTTTAAAATGAATTTTTTATTTTATTAATTTAAAATTTATTTATTTTATTTATTTTTAATTGAAACTATTTACTTATTTGGGTTAAGTAAAATTGACAATGTAGTATGTAAATAACCCTCTTTCTTCTTTATATATATATATATATATATGTATATATTAACCGTTGATTTCATTCCTATATCCCACCTAGATATTTTTGCTTAAAACAAAACACCATTTATTCTTTGAATTTACTGTAGCATTACATTTGCTAATAGTATTATATCAACTGAAACTAAATAAATACTGATCATGTTATTATTGTTACATAACTGAACTTGTCCCGAATGAATTGTGATTTGGAATTTTAAATTCTTTATTGAATATGGAATTCTAATTTAGGATTTTGAAATATGTGCTTGTATTAGTTTATGATTTGATTTAAGATTTTGAATGATTTGTTTATGTTATAAATTGGTTTTGTTGTGTTTTTAATTTTATAAGTTTTAATTCATTAATCATTAATGTTGGAGCATTTTAGAATATGGGAAGAAAAGGGCCCAAAATAAATATTTACAAAATGGGAAAAAAATAAGGCTCAAAAATAAATTTTTGAAGAAAAAAGTTCAATCCGCAAACCACCCGCAACCGCCTGTATATCCACAAACCCTATCTGCATAAACCGCACTACGGGCAGTTGCGGGGCGGGTCCAAACCGATTCGCAAACCGTTCAAATCCGAATCGCGAACACCCCTAATTAGGTATGTCTAAAAAATAAAAAATATTGCTTAAAATATTAAAAAAATTCAGTAAAAACAAAAAAAAAATACGGTAAATAAGAAAGTAGAATTTTTTGAAAAGTATTTTTGAAAAAATGGAACCAAGCAAAGTGATTATTTTTTCATCACATCACTTCAAATTCAACTCATATTTCACTTTTTTTTTTTTTTTGTAAAAAGTCAAAAAGAATACTTATTTAGCACTTCCCAAACAATCCCTCAATTGGATCAAATAAGTGAGATTTTTTTTCCGTAAAAATTATTAAATAGAAGCTTAGATTTCATTTGGAAGTAGGTTATTTTTGTATTTTTTTGGTTAAAATATGAGATAAAAATTAATATGTTTGAAATGACTTTTTAATTTTTGATAAAAAAATGTACAAAAAGTAGAGAGAAAATTAAATCTTTGACTTTTTAATATAAGTTATAGATTTTTTGATTTTTTTAGTAATTTTTTGACTTTTAGGCTAAAAGTGCTGCATGCCAAACGAGACCTTATTACCAATAAAAGTCATTAAATTTAAGACTCTTATTGGTAAATTTTTTTGAAAAAATTTAACTGGATTATATTTTTATAGGCTCTTATTGGTAAAAAATTTCCATTTAATGACTCTTATTGGTAAGAAACTTGCGTTTAATGATTCTTATCGGTAAGAAACCTTAATTGTCTGGTCCAATTGAAAGTTTAACTAGCGAGAAACCAAATTCAAACCAAAATAGGGTAATTAAGAAAAAAATTTGGGGTTTAAAATAAATTTTTTTATTTTATTAATTTAAAATTATTTATTTTATTTATTTTTAATTGAAACTATTTACTTATTTGGGTTAAGTAAAATTGACAATGTAATATATAAATAAATTTTTCAATATCATTTTTTATAGGGAATTATAATGTAATAGGATATAAAAAAAAATTACAAAAACATGTGAGGTATAAGCCATTATGTGGTGAGGTACAAGTGCAATACTGTGGAGGTGCAAGTGTCATTTACACCCCTCTATATTTTTGTATAAAAAAAAAAAATTATCCCACTTGCATGTAGTTTCTCATTTTTTATTGAGTTTAATTTATTAAAATATTATTTTTTTATTATTTTTTCTTAATAAAAATAGACAATTGTTTTAGGTTAAAAATAAATCAAAATGTTAGAATTTAAATTGATAAAATTAAAAATTAAAAATTTATTTTGTTATTAGTGCTCTATTATATATATATATTAATTTCTCCAAACAAAATTAATTGAAAAATAATAATGATACGGTCATTTTTTCTAATAAAATTGCCTTAACTGAATGGGGTAATCACGTGATTTTCACAAACTAATAATTATTCAATACTTGTCAGGTCCATTGGCATTCAAGCACCTGACAAGCAGGGAATTAGCCATGTAAGCAGATAAAGATCCTGCAAAATTATTGCACCCGCGTCAATCATTTAATAAGGCCACCGTAGTATTAAATGCGGCAAGACCCCTCACACTAGAGTGGCAGAATCACCATGAACAATGTCAACTAGGCTTTAGACTTTCAGCCAACAAGACAGCTTGGAGTGGACAAAGAAATGATGAGCAAAGGATATAAGGAAGCTTTCGAGACACTTTAAAGGTTAAGTTTTTCCATCATTTACTTCTCTTTCTCTCTCTCTCAATCTGCCCCAACCTAACTTGATCGTCGAAGTGTCCATTGGGGGACTACCTCCTCCTTTGGACCGTTTTGCAGGCACATCTCCATCTCTTTCAGGACCAACAGATCCATTGGAAGTGTGGATCAGTCCGACCCATCATCCGCTGAAAGGAAGAGCATCATCAGTTGGCGACGTCTGTGGGAACTTTATTCCGGAAAGAC